AGGGGTCTCAGCTCGATCGGGCCGGTGGTGAGCACATGGCGCGTGCTCAAAAAGTGCGAAGTCGCGTCATAGACTTTACATGTATAAATCGGCTTGCAAAATTGGGCGAAAATGGCTAAATTTGCCCGACACGGGTCCGGTCCCCGTGCAGTATCTCGGTAACCGTGGGTCCGATCGGCATGGGGAACACAGTATTAGAGATGTCAATCGGATACCAACTTTTTGGTATACCGATACCAAACTGATACCAACTTAGTATTTGGTATTTCAATCCTAATGTGTTTGGTATTTTGTTGGTATCATGAATCCTCACTAATGCATAAGAGGCTAAGAAATCGGTAAAAAGTTGGTATTTCTCTCATGTTCCCAAGCTGGTTTGGTTTCGGTATTTCCCCATGGTTTTGGTTGGTATTTGGTTTGGTATCGGTATTCCGATTTTCTGTAATTGACATCACTACACAGTATCGTATATGAGGATCGAACGGGCTATCGAATGGTGAGCGGTGCAGGGATGGCACGCGCCACGTGCACCCGTGAGGGCACTTATGCTTGAAAAATTGACCTTTCGGACGGATTTTGGAATTAATGCTAATTTCGGGTGACTGTCAGACGGAGCGGGTTCAAACAACGCCTGTTGGCAAGAGAAATGTACCGCCTCTCAAGGAAAATTTGTGAAAAGATAATTGATCAAAAACAATGTGGAACAAATCACTGAAGAAAATGGTATTTGTTCATGACTTACTTAATTACACGGGTTTTGCTGCACAACCTGATACGTTAGACAATTAAAAATGGCATCGTTGGAAAGAGCATTCAATTTTGTCCAAGATCCAATCATCGCTTTTGCAAGACGAGCAACAGTATTCTTAAAAATATAAAATTTTTCAAACCTCTACATGCCAGCAATTTATCTATGGCTCTCATTTTTCAATGACCTACGTCAACCTATGCTATAAAATACACTTGGCAAGTTCTATAGTAGACGTATGGTTATCAGACACGAGCACCTCGATGCGATGGATGTTTTTTTCCCAATACAGAATGCTTAGCCGTCAAAAGACAACCGACCGAAATGTATACATGACCCACGGACACAAGACTAGTGATGTCAATCACGGAAAATCGGAATACCGATACCAAACCAAATACCAACTAAAACCACGGGAGAATACCGAAACCAAACCAACTTGGGAAACTGAGGGAAATACCAACTTTTTACCGATTTCTTAGCCTCTAATACATTAGTGAGGGCTTATGATACCAACAAAATACCAAACACATTACGATTGAAATACCAAATACCAAGTTGGTATCGGTTTGGTATCGGTATACCAAAAAGTTGGTATCCGATTGACATCTCTACACAAGACCAACCAAACGCCCACCGATCGAAAATATCCCGCATTCGGGTTGCGAAGCAAGCGGGTCACCCTAGCGGGCCCCATCCACCCGGGGGGCCCGGGCCCCATCCACAGGGGGCTGGTCCCCGTCCACACGAGGGCCCAGGCTCCGTCCACCCGGGGCTCCGGGCCCCGTCTACCCGGGGCTCCGGGGCCCGTCCATCAGAGAGCCCGGGCCCCGTCCACCCGAGGGCCCGGGCCCCGTCCACCCGAGGGCCCGGGCCCCGTCCACCCGAGGACCCGGGCTCCGTCCACCCGGGGCTCCGGGGCCCGTCCACCAGGGGCCCGGGCCCCGTTCTCCCGGGGGCCCGGGTCCAATCCACCCGGGGGCCCGGGCCCCATTCACCCGAGGGCCCGGGCCACGTCCACCTGGGCTCCGAGTCCGGGCCCCGTTCTCCCGGAGGCCCGGGCCCCGTCCACTCGGGGCCCGGGGTCCGTACTCCCAGGGGCTTGGGGCCGGACCCATCCACTGGGGGCCCGGGCCCCGTTCTCCCGGGGACCCGGCCCCATCCACCCGGGACCCGGGCACCATTCACCCGAGGGCCCGGGCCCTATCCCCACGGGGGCCCGGGCCACGTCCACCTGGGCTCCGAGTCCGGGCCCCGTTCTCCCGGGGGCCCGGGCCCTATCCACCCGGGGGCCCGGGGTCTGTACTCCCGGGGGCTTGGGCCCCATCCACCCAAGGGGCCCGGGCCCCATCCACCCAGGGGGCCCGGACCCATCCAACGGGGGGCCAGGGCCCCATCCACCGGGGCCCGGGCCCTACCCACCCGGGGGGCCCGGACCCATCCAAGGGGGCCCGGGTCCCATTCACCAGGGGGCCCGGGCCCAATCTCCCGGGGGCCTGGGCCCCATCCACCCGGGGCCCGGGCCCCGTCTCTCTCTCTCTCTCTCTCTCTCTCTCTCTCTCTCTCTCTCTCTCTCTCTCTCTCTCTCTCTCTCTCTCTCTCTCTCTCTCTCTCTCTCTCTCTCTCTCTCTCTCTCTCTCTCTCTCTCTCTCTCTCTCTCTCTCTCTCTCTCTCTCTCTCTCTCTCTCTCTCTCTCGAGCGGGCCCCTGACAGAAATTTCGGGGGGGTCAGCTGACCCTCTGACCCCCCCCCCCTGGCTGCGCCACTGGTTGAACGTGCCTTGATGTGGCGTCTCCGTATCATAAACCCCTCTCTCAGATGGAAGCGACAGCCGGGCGCGCACCCTTCCCGAAACTCCGCTTGGCGTTCTGCATCTGGAAGCATCCAGTCCAACGTCTGCCTACGGTCGGCCCCAGCCCACCTACCCCTCTGCCTACTTACTTACAGCCCGGAGTGCTGGGGTGCGATATATGTATGTTCGGCGCGTGTCGGGCGGCTCGGCTGGCCGCCCCCGCCCCCGCCGCGGCTCTACGTGTGTCGGGCGGCTCGACCCGCCGCCCCCGCCCCCACCGCGGCTCTCTGGAGTGGCGATTAAGGCGACAGGCCGCGACAGGTCGCTGCCAGCCTCGGGGGAAATCAATCGCATATGAAACCGGCGCAAAGCCGGATCCAAGTGGCAATTAAAGCTGCCAATTACTGGCCGGCCAGGACGGCGGCGGTGGCAGCAGCGACGTCTTACTTGTCGCCAGGCGGAGGGAGGGCGGATGCCTGAGGTCACCGCTAGGTGGCTCTGCCGTCGGTAGTGGTGAATGAGGTCATCGCTAGGTGATTCTGTTGGCAACAGTGATATCTGAGGTCACCACTAGGTGGCCTTAGTCGACGCAACGATATCAGTCGTCCTCACTCTCCTAATGTAATCTGCAACACTGGAAGAAATCAGGCTCTTTGATAACACTGGTCATTAGACAGAGCATTCCACTTGCATAACAAATTGTCATTAAACATTTCACTAACTTAGACCACAGATGAACTCCCCCAGAGAGCGAGTCATGCCGCACGTGTGCGAGAGGCTCCACTGACCACCAGCGAGCCGGCCGTTGGGAAGCGATGGTCCCGGAGGTCGCAGTTGACCTTTACTCGCTGCACCGGACAGCACCAGTGGCCTCCTCCACAGGCCGGCCGCCTCAATGGGTTCCGAGCGACCGCGCTGAATCGCGGCCCGGCAGAAACCGGAGCTCTGGTGAGCTGCCGGGCAGGGGAGAGCCGGCAGTCTTCCGATACCGACCCGGCAGCCGCCATTGAAAGGAGGCTCCGGCGAATGATAAAGTGGGTAGCGATTGAGATGAAGTGCTCTGTCGGCGGCCAGAAAGCCTCCGTGATATCGGAGCGCGCTCTGATGGCCGTCTGGGTCGGACTTGCATTGTCCAACATATCACCTCTGTGTCTGCATGGCCAAAGTTCGCAAATTGAAACGTCGGCCGGCGGCGGACGCGAAACAACTTCTCCGGTCGGAATGCCGGTCGTCGGTGCCGTGTCCACTCTGCGCCCCTCCCCGGCCCTCGGTGACGCGCCCACAGATCCCGCGACGTCCGGCCGACGGGATCAATAGGGGCGGCATGCGTGTCGACTCGACTCGGCTCGGCCGGCCGGCCGGCAGCGCCGCCACACGAGGCTAATTGGCCGTGGCCCTCCGGAGGGGGCCGAGACGGCGGCTCGGCCGGCCGCGTGCCAGTCCATCGATCCCGCCGCGCCGCCGCCGACGGAGGTTCGGGCGGTGATGAGAAATGACGCCGAGATCCGCTGCCGTGCCGGCACATGCATCAGCGCCGCGCCCGGCCAAAGGTTGGCGCCGCCGCCGCTACCGCCGCGCCAGTCCCCGACCAGAGGAGGCCGATTCAATGCCGAGAACGAGCTCGAGGTACATTGGCGTGACAGAATCGGGAGATGGAGTCGCGAGGGACATGCTAAGCAGATTAAGTTGCTTTTGTGTCAACTGACTTAATTTCGCTAATTAAAAACAGCGACGGCGCTGTCGCGAGTGCCTTGGGCGTTAAGACGATAAGACCTGCAGGGAAAATTGAGTTCTACGGTGTCATGATGATCGTATAATTAGCATTGACGACGAGATCAATATCCACTTATTAATTATCAAACAACGTCAATAATCAGCCAACTAGCAAACGCACAGGAAAACCGACTAAAATGGGAATTAAAAAAGTAAAATGGACACAGGTGGAAATGACAAAAAACATTAATGTTCCAGGAAACCATAAGCATAACCGAAGGTTTGTTGTCAATAGTTAAAACACTATTCTTTAGAATTGTGTTTTTCTATTGAAAAACAAATCTGAGTTCCCTGACAATTTGGCAAAAGCTGCCTGAGATCTACACGGTGTCACCCAAGCCAAGACTATATATAGGGTGTCACCTATGTAACGTAAATTTAGATTGGATTACTGACCTTCCTCCCGACGTCCGTCAGCGCTGCTCGTTTGGGCGGTCTCACCTCTGGGCTGACCTGTCAGCGGCACCGTCCCCAGCGGGCCGTGACACCTCAGATGTCCTCACCGGCAGCCCGACTGCAGCTGGGCTGTGGTTACCTCTGGTCTCTGGACAGGTGATAGCGCAGTGGAACTCATCAAAGCGGAACCCTATTCCAACCTACCCTAAGAGTGAGCCCAACTTTGAGTAGACAACAACACGATCAAAGTTTGGATATCCTTTGATCGATTAGTTGCCGATTTTATCTCACCTTTGAGTACGGGCAGCAGTGCCGTGACGGCGTCCGTATCCGTATCCGTATCCGTCTCGGGTGGTCCGTACTCGTCTCTGGCCGCCTCGTTGGCCCGTGCCACTGGATCGGGTGGAGGGACCAGGGACTGTGGCGGCGGACTGAAAGGAGGCAGAGAAGGTCAGTTACACGGTTATATGGTACTGGATCGGGCGGAGGGACCAGGGACGGAGACTGCGGACTGGAAAGGACGGGGACGTCAGTTGAACGACAGGTAATGCAGTGCATGGGACACATGGGATCAGTGCAGGGGCTGCAGATGCAGAGATCGAAAGGGGACAAATGTCGGTTACTTTACTCAGTTATACGATATTGAATAGGCTATGCAGCTGTGGCAGAATAACAGTGCAGTCTGAGGTAGCATAATCACAGATCATAAACTAGGAGCTATATTCATTGATGCTCCCAGATTTGCATGTGGGTCATCAGGTTGCTCACAGACTACTTTATTTCTAAAAAGAACAGTCCATGACATGGTCATTTAAGGCCCGGTCACACATACATGACGTACGGCCGGCGCAGGCCGGCGCATTGCAAAAAGACCAGTGCGTCGTCGTGCGTTGATGTGTTACCAACTTTTGTCAAGAGTCAGCAGGAACTAGCAGCTTTACAACGAATGCACAACGCGCTGCAAGCGCTTTGCCAGCGCACCGGGCGAATACAGGGCACCTACACAGCGAATACAGAGCGCTTAAAGTGCGCACACACAACGGATGCACAGCGGCTTGCTAGCGCACGGGACGCATGGATCGCGCGTACACCGCGCATTCAACGCACAGTCAGCGAACTTCACTTTGCAGCGGCGCAGTGGTCCGTCTTGCCTGTTGTCATATCAGTAGGACTAGGACGCCAAGGAGGGCACATCCTCATCGGCCCTCCATGGAATTTGAAGGGATATCAAGATGCCTCCCAAGACAAAGGGACGAAAGGCGACCTGCACGAAGAAAAAGACTAAATTCTGGCATCAAGAGCAGGAGGAATTGAAAGGAGCCTATGCACTATGCAGCAATGACGCAGAAGAGTTACCCATTAGGGTAGAAGGAGAAATGAGGAGGTAGGGCGGGACCGTAGACATACGCCAGACGACCGCTGTGCGCGCTACATACTCGTTCAGCTCTTGTTTATCACGCCTTTATAGTCTATGCGTATCCGTTAGACATGCGTTAGAGGCACGCTATGTCCGCGCTAGGTATTCGCTACGCATCAGCCGACGAGCACACAACGAATACCCAGCGTGTGTTCCGCGTGTATCTGGCGCTGGCCCAACGCGCTCCGCGTGTGTCTGGCGTTCGTCTTCGTGCGTCGAGCTCAACGCACATTTTTGAGCATGCACAAAAATTGTCGACGCACGCAACGAATGACGACGCATGATACCGTTGGCCCAGCGCACTCGACGAACGAGTAACGAATGCATAGCGCAGGACGACGCACTGACCTAAATGAATGAATTTTTGGTGCGCGGGCCGTGCGTCGTGTATGTGTGACCGGGGCTTTAAAGTGTCATGGGTGATAGCGGAAAGTTCGCGCCGATTCGTTTTGGCTCTGCCGGGGACAGTCGATTGATGTTGCACATTTGACCTCACTTATAAACGAAGGCTGGACCGCCTTCTCTTCCAGCACAGGAGAACTGTTCCCGAGTGTGTGATATTAAACACCATGAGACACACTAATCAGACACACACAAATGCTAGAAAGCTGAACGAGCAACAGAGTTAGCAAAAACAGTCGCGATTGTTCAGTGATATTTGGTCATTGAAACGTTGACTAAATCTCCCAAGAAGAGTCTGTTACGAACCATTTGTTACCGGGAATAAAAAACGCGTGTACGAAATGCGAATTACCATATAACCAGTAGCAGCGGAATACCTTCAATTAAGGGGGGCACTGCCCATTTTTGATCCCATTCTTTCCATGCAACGCCCATAGGGCTAATGTTAAAATGCCAAAATCAAAGGGGCACGGTGCCCCGGTACCCTCCCCGTTCCGCCACCTATGCATATAACGTTGTTCAATTTCAAAAGACAACGCCATACGCAGGCCAGCAGCTGTGCAACTAAGAACAATGCGATTCATGCATAGTTCAGCCTTGGTTGTTGCACAGCCTCAAAGCGACCGCTGACCAACACCAGAAACACAATAAAACGCTAAATATGATCGTTAGGGGCACCCGCAAAAGTATGCAAAACATGTTTCAGATGTCCATAACCATACCTGCCCATAACAACCACTGTGGACGTTGGACACCGTGTGGAGACACAGTTTGGAATACGCTATATAATACGTTAATAAATGCGCTATAACATGTGGTTAGACGCTTATTGGCACCTGTTCACACAACCAAGTACGTAAGGCTAGCAGAGAGTATAGCAGACAGGCTCCACCGAGTCCCGCAGCTGAAATACATTCCCGGTATAACCCGCTAGAGTTTGTGCATTTTTGCGACATGAATCAGCAAAATAATTAACATTGATGGAATTCCATGAATCTAACCACGCAGTCGCGGTGTCATTATGCCATAACAAACCCACTGACACCTCATAACAAGCATTCCAGCACGCGTCCATGAGTTCAAACTTTACTGCTACAACACACTTGCTCTTACAACATTCAGCAGCCGTACCAATGGCCTTACGCTCGGTAACGCGGGTGGGAACCACGGCCTGACAGAGTCACACCTATCTACGCACCGGCCCGAGGGAGTTTCGCTCACCTCGGCACCAATCTTTACCGAGTCGCCACAGAGGGCGTCAGCTGTTCCCTCTCGGCAATAGTCAAACTTCGCCGCGGGACCGAAGTTGGCCGCGGTGGGAAACCACCGCCAGTGGGCTTCGCCAGCAGCGAAAATACCACCGATCGCGGGGAGCGCCGGGAAAAGGGCGGCAAACTTTGTGGCCGATTTCCTAACTCGTCAATTTACACACACTAAAAACGTGGTCCTCCGTGTCAAAGCCCTTAAAACTTGGTAACGAGATCAGGCCGGAGAAAACAAAGTCAAACAGCCACTTCACCGGCCACATGATCCACAAAAGGAACTCCGCTCGGTTGTTTGCACGCTTTCAGTCAAACCAAATAGAACGGCACCGACCTCAGGGTTCACCATTAGCGTTAACCCGACGATTAAAACACAATGAGAGTAAAACCTTTTTGACACGACCTACACAAGCGACGATCAGCAAAGCCCATCATTTCGGGCCATCATGTGGGAAACTCCCTTCACACATGGGAAAAACGTTAACAATAATCAACTGCTGATATGCAAGCACTAATAGCGAAAACCACCAGCATAAGAAAAACATTTAATCTGAGTAATAAGCTACCGACGATAACCAAGAAGCTGTACTTTTCGCAAATAATAGAAGCAGCAGCATGGATCCCACGCCAACACCACAGAAACCCCCGGTGTTTCTACACGCGTCAGCGCCGCCCACTCGCCCGCCTTACGGTGACCCGCCTATGACGGTATCGCTCGCACACACCGCGCCGCGGTAACGACACTAATGAGTGTAACGACACCTCGGGTCAATACGGCCGACACGCGGTCGACCCGCAAACAGCCGCGCCACACGGCTCTATCTCTGCCGGTGGCTGGCTGTGTTTGTCGCTGTGTATGTAAGCAGAGGTCCGTGAGTCATAGGGGACACGGCGCAGCAGGATGGGGGTTCCAGCCGGGAGCTGCAGGCGTGAATCTCGACAATGTGAAGGCACAGCTGGAAAGGCGCTTGTCGCAGCTTGGGATATTGGTGACCGGGAGATAATTGATAATGCAAGCCGAATCAATTGATAATGCAAGCCGAATCTCGCCAATAAATGTTTTACACTGCTGCTAAGGCCAGGTATATCAGTACTGGCATAAGCCGAAAAAGGCGTTGAGCATGGGGTTATTCAGTGCTTGTTAGCTTCAATTCAAACTGGTGGTGATCCGACAATCATTCGCGAGCGAGTTCCACAATACTTTTGAAGTATAATACATACGAGTATTTCGCCAATTTCCGGTGCTATAAGAGAAATCCGCTACGGCTATGTCTGCCTCAAGCACCCATCGTCCGTTTCCGGCCTGTTCCCAATGCGTTTCCATGACGTTTCCAGTGATCGTCACGGCACCTGCGCCGTTCGCCCGTCGCTCGGCGGATCCAGAACTGATGGCCCGTCAGCGACCGACGCCAACTCGAGACGACTTGGGAACAAGTTTGGGCCGCTCGCCGCCGTCCAGGAGAGGGAGACATTGGTGCTGACGGAGGCACGGACGGACACCACACCGTCGACGTTGTGAACCGTGGTGGCGGATCCTGGAAGTCCGGTCATAAGGAAGGAGCACACGGGAAAACAGAGATGAGTGCTCTGATGGTCAATCACCTCAGGACACGAAAACGATGGAAGTAGCAATATCAGGGCGACGGGCATAGCAGTAACATAAGGTCACAAAGGGTCACATCGCAAAAAAAATCCCTGAAATGTAGGCAAATTCTGCTCCTCCTCAGCAGAGCAGAAGAGAGCGAGATGAGATTGCGGCATGGCCTCTACCAGTTCTCCATCATGCCCCGGGGAGGCGCCCTGTATAGTGGTCCGAAGCAAAAGCACATGCGTCTCAAAGACGCATGTTCTTTTCAAAGGTGGTTCCATTTAATAACATCAAAGAGGACAGTTGATATACGATATCGTAAAGCTGATGTGCATAAAACCAGCTTAGCGTGTCCTCCGATCAACTCCTCTCCCTGTTTGGCTGTGAAAGGCCGTCAACACCCGGGTTTATCTTCGCCTCCAGCTCTGTGCGAGCCACCGCTTCGTCAAACCCGGGTGGACGACGAGGGTCGTTTGGGAACAAAGGACAGGACGGTGATGATGGGGATGGTGGGTGGGCAAACACTCCGCGCACCCCTTGTACACCGCGGCTCGGCTCACACTGCGCGTGTTATCGGCCGACCACGGCGGGGCCGCCGCGGTTCTGTTTGTTCTTCTCCACCCTTCTCGTTATCGCCCCCCCTCCCCCTCCCCCTTCCCTGGACCCCACTGGCTCGGTGTCGCGTCGTGTCACGTCGGCCCGCTAATCACGATTCAACGTCCCGTTAATGCTTGATTAGCGTGTCCTCCGATCAACTCCTCT